GGAAGTGAGGGTTATTCCTTTCCCTATTATACCTAATCACCACTTGAAGAGTTTTCTTCTCATTAATCTACTGCTACTAGCACTGCTAAACAGCTATGTATCTTATTTCTGAATCCTGATACGTAAGAGCTCTGCTTCTGAATCAAGACACATACAACAAGAGACAACTTTGCAGTCTGAGTGTGCATGATGGGAGAAACATAAGAAGGAAGGGCAGGAGGGAGCCAGCTCTCACTCACTTGGTAGCAACTTTCCGTGGAATGTGGCAGTTCCCATGAAAGAACCTTGGACACGTATCACAGGATAACAGCTTGTTCTTTTTACCGCACACCTCACATTTTTTTGAGTTTTCTGGCTAGAAGGGGAGATGATGTAGACATCATTGGAATCAGCAAGACTCTGGAAAGTCAACCCTGTGGTTGGCACTGTAGACACACAGCCTTTACTTGTACCTAGGTGATACTTGTAAACCATTCTCAAAATGGTTTACTAGAGTTCAGGAGAAGACTTTCTGGTCTGCAGTGAAGTTCAGGAGGCAAAGTTTTCTTTATAGAGACAGAGATTCTGACACATGAAGGCTTTCAACAACCACAGAAAAGGATAAATTAAAGATAATCTGAGAAATTTATTATTCTGAAGGCGAAATCTGTCTCAGGAATACAGTGTCTCGTCTAGTTGTCTATACTGCATCATTTACATTGACTCATTGAAGAGTGATTTACTGAGAATTTTTTTTTTTATGGTCCTTTGGCCATGTTTCATGACATGTGGGAATCTTCTCTGACCAGGGACTGAACCTGCACCGCCTGCGCTGGTAGCAGTGTCATAACCATTGAACCACCAGGAAAGTCCCTACTGAGACTTTACATGATAGAATAAACATCTGAGAGATCACTGCATCCCATTTTCCTTGTCGTAAGTTCTCTGTGAATTGAAGGACCTGAGGAGGCATTCCTGGACTATGGATTTTGTGCTGGAGAGCCCCTGAGCCTGCGACAGTGCCTCTGGTTGGAAAGACCATGGGCACAGATAATCAGGGGGATGCCAGGGCAGACAGACCTCTCTGGATCTGAAGCCTAGGGAAAGCTATCCCATGACTTAACTTGGCATCTAGGTGTGGCGGTGCCATCTCTCAATGGCTGGGAACTGTGGTAATGGCAACCACTGGAGTTGAAGGCCAAGGTCTTACCCTAATTTTCTGAGCCCATGGAAGACCTGGTGCTTTGTCCTGTGTAAGGAAGATGAAAGGGCCCACAAAGTCAGTTGGTGCAGGAGTTTTCACCAGTCTCAATATGTGGGGGGCCTTTCAGTTCAGTTCAGTTGCTCAGTCATGTCTGACTCTTTGCAACCCCATGAACCGCAGCACACCAGGCCTCCCTGTCAATCACCAACTCCTGGAGTCCTCCCAAATAAGTCAGTGATTCCATCCAACCATCTCATCCTCTGTTGTCCCCTTCCCCTCCCACCTTCAATCTTTCCCATCATCAGGGTCTTTTCCAATGAGTCAGTTCTTTGCATCAGGTGGCCAAAGTATTGGAGTTTCAGCTTCAACATCAGTCCTTCCAATGAACACCCAGGACTGATCTCCTTTAGTGGGTGACAATATACAGCCTTGACATACTCCTTTTCCTATTTGGAACCAGTCTGTTGTTCCATGTCCAGTTCTAACTGTTGCTTCCTGACCTGCATTCAGGTTTCTCAAGAGGCAGGTCAGGTGATCTGGGGGCTTTTAGCCAGATTTTATTTCATTCAGTGACATACTAGAGGGGTGGGATGGAGTGGCAGGTGAGAGGGAGAGTCAAGAGGGAGGGGACATGTGAATACCTATGGCTGATTCATACTGATGTGTGGCAGAAACTAACACAATATGGTAAAGCATTATCCTTCAATTAAAAATAAATTTATTAAAAAAAAAAGAAAAAAATTGACAGTGTTTGCATCTAAGTTTTGTGGAGTAACAAGCAGCACATGTTAAAACTGCAGAATTTATGGGGACTTCCCTGGCACCTTAGTGGTTAAGACTTCCCCTTTCAATGCAGGGGGTGCAGGTTCAATCCCTGGTTGAGGAACTAATATATCATATGCCTCACGGTCAAAAAGCCAAAACATAAAACAGAAGCAATATTGTAACAAACTCAATAAAGACTTTAAAAATGGTCCACATAAAAAAAAATCTTAAGAAAAAAAAGCCTATAGAATTTATAGACCAAAATAAGAATGGTCAAGGAAGGAGCCCATTGGTGGGCAAGGAGAATTAAATTTCTTCCTTTTTATTTTTGGTGATAATCTATGTGGCAATAACATGTGAATCTCTATTTACTACGATTTCTATGTATGAGGGTCATGTGTCTGTTCTGCAGAAATGCCCAGAGAATGGGTGCCTGTTCCCTCTCCTGGCGCACCTGAGTGGAAAGATAACCGTGTTGTGGGAAACAGTTCATCTAATAGATAGCAGCTCTTCATCTAGATGAAGCTACCCTTTCTACACCATGGGCTGGAAGAAGAACTTCACATGACAGTCTAGGCACCAAACAGTCGCAGGTTTGGGGACCGGCCCACCTGGGATGCGTAGCGGGGACTCTGGTGGGTGTTGAGGAAGTGGGGGTGTGGGGAGGGCCATTCACCCCTTCCTTCTAGAAACACTCTCTATGCTTTGTTCCATGGCACTCCATTCTCTTTGATTTTTCTAACATGTTTCTTCTTTTCAGCTTCCAAACCTGGAATGTTGGAATTCTGTAGGGCTCTGTCCTGTTGTCCCCTACCCATTTTCCTCTCCTAGATGACCACAACTACTCCCATGACCTACCACATTCATCCCTAGGCTTTAAGACCTGTGTCTCTCATGTGTACCCCAATGTTCATCGCAGCACTGTTTATAATAGCCAGGACATGGAAGCAACGTAGATGCCCATCAGCAGACGAATGGATAGGAAAGCTATGGTACATATACGCAATGGAATATTACTCAGCCATTAAAAAGAATTCATTTGAATCAGTTCTAATGAGGTGGATGAAACTGGAGCCTATTATACAGAGTGAAGTAAGCCAGAAAGATAAACACCAATACAGTATACTAACACATACATATGGAATTTAGAAAGATGGTAATGATAACCCTATATGCAAGACGGAAAAAGAGACACAGATGTACAGAACAGACTTTTGGACTCTTTGGGAGAAGGCGAGGGTGGGATGATCTGAGAGAATAGCATTGAAATATATATATTATCAAGTGTGAAACAGATCACCAGTCCAGGTTGGATGCATGAGACAAGTGCTCAGGGCTGGTCCACTGGGATGACCCAGAGGGATGGGATGGGGAGGGAGGTGGGAGGGGGGGTTCAAGATGGGGAACACATGTAAATCCATGGCTGATTCATGTCAATGTATGGCAAAAACCACTACAATATTGTAAAGTAATTAGCCTCCAACTAATAAAAATAAATGAAAAAAAAATCCTAAGAAGAAAACAAACAAAAAAATAAATAAATGGCCATAAGCAAACTTCAAAAAAAAAAAAAAAAACCAAACCTGTGTATCTGGTCTCCTGGTCTTCTTTTGAGTACCAGAGCATCCAAAAGCTACTTTTTAAAAAAATCATAAAATTATATGTCTTTCATCATGTCTGAAACACATTGTGCCCCAGACCACAGTCCTTGTCTCTCTGTCTTGAATATGCTCCTCTTCTGGTGCCCCCTCCTCTCATTAAGAGCCCCACCATTTACCCAGGAGACTGGAAGTGAACATGGATTCCTTCCCTTACCCCATCCCAGACATCCAACCCGTTACCAGTCCTGCTGATCTGAATTTTTAAATACTCCATCTCATTCTCAGTGCTTTTATGAGGCCTGTTGCTACAAGAATGCAGAGCCTCTACTTATAATATAGTATTATGAGCCAAAGCAAAATGGCCTGATATTTCCAAATCATAACAGTCAGAATATTATCCTTGGGCCCAATGAGCTGAGGTGAATTGGAACACACGTTGATCGGTGGAAGCATTTGGTCTTAAAGAACAGTGCAAATAGCATCTCTTTCTCCAGAAGACACAGTGGATGCAAATCCTAGTTACTGAATCTTTAGCATATAGTCAGTGGAGCAGGTATCCCCAGAAACCAGCTTTGTGAAGATCATGACTTCCTGGTTTGGCAGAGATGGCCAAGGTTACCTCTGCTGGAAGTTAGGAAAATGGAAGCTTTTCTATTTCCTTTTTTTCACCTCATAGCTTCTCTCTCACACACTGTCTTGGAGAGGAAGACATCAACTATCTGACGCCTTCCCCAGAATCCACACAACACAGACAGCACTAGTCCATGAATGTCACATGCTACTTTGAAGGAAAGAATTTGCCTTCATTGGTGGCATTAAGGTCTGCACAGCCCCTCTGATGGGGTTGAAGGGCCTCTCCGCAAAGGAAACTATTTTCCAAGTAGCAGCCTCTTCTACAGGGTGCTCCTGCTTCCCAATCAGTGTATTCTTTAATGTGTCATCTCCATGAAGGAAATAAAATTTACCTTGAAGACAGACCCCTTGAGGAAGGACTCAGTGTGAGTGGTTGTGTGCATGTGAAGGAGAGGTTTGGTTTTGTTTTTGCTTTGCCAGGTGACATATGACTATATATTCATTCCAAAGGGGATTTCTACATTAGGTCTATACTAGGTCAGCTAGAGTGACCATGAGATGTTTCCATTTTGCTCAATCCTTATTTCATTAAAGCCAGAACCCAGAAAAACCAGTGAAAATACAATCAGTGTTGCAAAAGCAACCATCATTAAACACACTTTTTTTGTGCCTTCCAAAATCATGCTTTTCCACCTCTAACTCCATCTTTTGTGTCTAATTTTAAGACAGTATGACCCCTGCAGTGGCCTATATGGGAAAAGAATCTAAAAAATAGAGTGGATATATGTATATATATAACAACCCACTTTGCTCTACACCTGAAATTAATACAACATTTAAGTCGACTGTACTCCAATAAAAACTTTTTAAAGAAAGACAGTACAGAAACTCACCTACCTCCGAATGAGCTCCACTCCGAGAGTATGTTGAAAGTCCAAGTTGTTGGTTAGTCCAACAAAGTTAGCCTAGGTACCCAGCTAACACAATCAACTCTATGGTACTGTGCTGTAATAAACTTGTAACACTTTTCACACAAATAATACAGAAAAGGCAAACAAACATAAAAAGTAAAGAAAACACTTTTAATGTACAGTTAGAGTACCTTGAGATGTGCAGGAGTACAGTACAACAGCTAGCAGAAACTGAACAGGCAAGAAGGGTTACTGACCGGAGGAGGGACTGGAGGTGGAAGACGGGAGAGCTGAAGGATCGGCAACAGGAGAGGGTGGGCAAGCTGCAATTTCACTCACGCCTGACGTTGATGACACAGGTTCTGGTTCTTTGCTGGATTCAATTCTGTCTACTCTCTTTAAAAAATGATGCAGTGATGTCTGGGTAGTGGCTGTTTTTTTCTCATCATGGATGACACGGTAGCATCGGACTGCATTCTGAACGGCTGCTACAACCTTCTTGTACCGTTCTACGCCCGAGTCCTGTGCCTCAGAAACTAAGGGTGCCTCTTCAGATAAAGAAAATCCTCTTGCCATTTCCTGCCTCGTGCATCTCTTCAGTTCTGCAGTTACTTCCTTTTGTCTCTCTTTGTCCTTCCTCTGGGCCTCCAATTCCTGGAGTTTCTTAGCCATACCAGCTACATCACTGCTGCTTTTACAGTTGCTTCCAGACATCCTGGACTTGAAATAAAGATACTGTACTACTATCCTCTATACTGAACTGTTCAGTAAAGTACACAAAAGCACCATTAGCTGTGGAGGATTCACATACATGACCACACGCCAGACACGTGAACGAACTTTGTGATTGAACATGCGAATGCACGTTCGCATCTTCGAAAGCTTGCAACTTTAACGTTCATATATAGGGACTTACTCATCTATTTTTCTAAAACAAATGTACAAGGTCAGTTCTGCCTCATTATCTATTTTTAAGGATTATCTCCACCCTCTATCTCAAATATTTTAAAACTCAAAGAAGTCCCAGCTTCACACACATAAATGTTTGGAAGTAGCAAAAACACCATACTATAAAGTCAAGCTTCATCATAATTGGTTAATTTAGAAACTATGAAATAAAGCCAGAGAGATGGAAAATCAACAATATGATAGGTGAGACAGAAGATAATAGCTACCTTTTTCCTTTTTCTTGGTGGGTTTGGTAGGCGTCCTTCCTGAAAGAAAAATGAAATTCATGCTGTGATGGGTCCTTGTTTCTACTTTGTGAGCTCAATAATTCCAACTGCCTTTCATTCATGTCCCACTGTCAACACAAGTTCCAGGGATCTTCATGGGAAATAAACTCCCTCTCCAAGTCTGTAATGCACTGCTCTCTGTTACCCAGCCTCAGATTTAAAGTCAGCTTTAAAAACTGTATCCTCACGCTTGCTCTCCTTATAAAGTCTTGCCAGAATTTCCTTTACAACCACTTCTACACCTGCCACTTCCTTTCCATCCCCCAGTATCCCTCTAGCTTGTGTATTTATACCTCGAGTACTATAGCTATTCTGTTGGTACATACCTAGTGAGTGATTGACAGGTAGCAGGCCTTATCAGTGGCCTTGGACACACTCTCTTTGGGGAGACAAGTGGGAAAAGCTGGCACAGAATTGGTAAGAATGATAAAGTTTAAACCGTGCTCTCAGAATATTTCAGGATCCAGAGATGGGTAAGTATAGTAGGCTAAATAATGTCTGTTGTTCCCCACACTCCCCCATCCCCACCAAGATGTTCACATCCCAATCCCTAGACCCAGGAATGTGCTAATTTATACAGTAAAAGGGACTTTGGTCCCTATTAGAGGGGACAGGAAGACCAGAGTCAGTAGTAGGAGATGTGATGACAGAACAGGAGCTGGAGTGATGTGAGGAAGGGGCCACAAGCTAAGGAATGGAAGCTGCTTCCAAAAAAAAGCTGAAAAAATCAAGGGACAGATTATCCCTGGAAGGCTCCAGGAGGAACCAGCCCTGCTGAACCTTGACTTGAGTCCTGTGAAACTGATTTCATGCTTCGGGTGGGCAGAACCGTGTGATAATAGATTTACGTTGTCTTAAGGCACTAAATTTGTGCGAAATTGTTACAGCTGCAATAGGAAGCGAGCTCAGGGAATTTGCAAGGACTCCAACAGAGTGTGCCTTTTGTGCTGGGCCTTGCAGGTTGAGTGGGGTTGATCAGGTGGAAAAGTGATGGAGGTCGTTTGATGTCTCCATGGGTTAAACTTCCCCACCCTGTAATCCATCTTGCATTCCCTGATCAGATTCTTACCTCTACAACACTCTTTCAACTAGTCAGTCAGTCCCGAACCCAAACCTCCCATGATTGCCCCATGATTAAATGAAGGGCTCAGTCTTTTTTCTTGGGCTTCAAGGCCTCCACAATCAGCCCTATTCATGTAGGAAACTTTATCACCCACAACTTCTTGACAAATCATACCATCCTTTCTATGCAGAATTTCTCAGTCCTACCATTTTGCTTGTTGGAAGTAGTCTTCTTTTAAGACCTAGCTCAGTGCAAACTGTCCCATGAAACTGGACTTAACTTCAAAGACAGAAATGACCTTCCCTCCCCTGAGCTGTCTTTTCCTGCCAGCGAATCTCATTATGCTACCCATGAGCTGTGCCGTCCTGTGCTTAGAAATGAGTAGTTGTCTTCCTCATTGGGGGTTGGGGCCACACTTTACTTTAGATGTATTCAATAACTATCTTATCATTAGAGTGGCACAGGGCAGGACCATCTGGGGCATGTGGTACAGAGCCAGGAGGCACAGGTTCATCTGTGACAGAGATCTGGCCTGTTTTGTTCACATCAGGGGCTGATAAGAGGATCAAAGAGATATTTTAAAATACATTTTAAGATATTCTTTTTCAAGAATGAACTTCACAAGTCTATCCAGAAAACACTTACTCTGATGCATTATTTTCAGATACATAGTTCTATTATTGTTGTTTTAAACACTCCCCTGACAAAGTCTAAGATCTTCCCCCACCAAATTAAATTTATTAAATTTAATTTACTTTCCTGTGACCAAATTACACAATGGCAATTATTAGTGGCAACGCCAAGGACACAATTTTTACTGTTCTACCTCCAAAATTATAAGAGTTTGACTACTACTCAGCCATAGAAAAGAACAAAATTTTGCCATTTGCAGCAATATAGATGGACTTGAAGGGCATTATGCTAAGTAAGCCAATGTCAGAGAAAGGCAAATGCAAGCGTGGTATCACTTATATGTGGAATCTAAAAAAATATATACAACAAACTAGTGAATAAACATAAAAAATGCAGACTCACAGGTATAGAGAACAAACCAGTGGTTAACAGTGAAGTGGGGAGAGGAAAACACAGAAGTAGGGGAGTGGGAGTTACAACTAGTGGGTGTAAGATAAGCTCAAGGATGCATTGCACGATAGGGGGAATATAGCTAATATTTTGTAATAAACGGAAGTGGAAAGTAACTTTTAAAAATTGAATAAAAAATTAAAAAATTTAAGTGTAAGAGTTTACACACTTAGAGGATTGAGTTGTAATGAAAGTCAGCAAAGATAGCACCCACATGAACTATTAGGATAATATATGCTTTGTGACCTAGGCATGGTGATTTTCTGGAAGTGTCCTGCTAAAGCTTGAAGCCGGTGACCCATGGCACAAAACCCTTGATTGCAGTGCTTTGACGCTAGAATACCTGAATCAATTTTTCCAGGGTCTGTCCATAACAGCGCACACTCTTCTTCCAGTTCCTGGAGGCTTCACGGCCTCCTTGTTTTTCCAACTGCCTGAGGGTGATCCACATTCCATTCTCATCCTTTATACACTTTTCTGAGGAGCCTGTGAAACCAAGACAAGGTGAGCTCCCTTTCTTGCCAGGGCATGCACCAGACTGTGAAAACCCCAAGACTTGACCTCCCACTGCATGAATCTGGGCCACCTGTTTTGGCTTCAGAACCGTCAACAGGAGAGCAGAGTCCCCTCTTAGGGGCCCAGAGCAGTCTGAAAGGCAAGGGTAGGAGCCAACTTCCTGTCCAGTGTGCATACTTTGACCTTCATGCAATGAGAAGTGCAGTAATTGCTACCCGGAGTGCGTTCTAACTCACTTCAGTCGTGTCCAACTCTTTGTCACCCCATGGACTGTAGCCCGCCAGGCTCCTCTGTCCATGGGATTCTCCAGGCAAGAATACTGGAGTGGGTTGCCATTCTCTCCTCCAGGGATCTTTCCGACACAGGGATTGAACCCTCATCTCTTATGTCTCCTGCATTGGCAGGCGGGTTCTTTATCACCAGTGCCACCTGGGAAGCCCCCAGTTATTACCCACATTTACTTGAAAAAATATTTCCTTATGTTCAAAAGAAAAAAAAAGAATGAATCAAAAGATGAGTAGGGAAGATTCTTTCTCTTCCCTTCTCTGAGACCTGAGATAGAACCAGGCTGAGTTTCTGAGGGGGCAAGTGAGGTCACACGGGGTCACCACAGCTACATCTGCCTTGTCTTGTACAAAAGTTGATCATTTCAGCTAATGGCAAGCAACTATTTCTCATATTTTGAATTTAAGCTATTTTATGTTAAAAGAAAGTAGGAAATGCTATAAAGTGGGAAAAGATAAATTATATATGTGCTATGGCTACCTGATGCAAAGAACTGACTCATTTGAAAAGACCCCGATGCTGGGAAAGATTGAAGGCAGGAGGAGAAGGGGACAACAGAGGATGAGATGGTTGGATGGCATCACTGACTCAATGGACGTGAGTTTGAGTAAACTCTGGGAGTTGGTGATGGACAGGGAGGCCTGGCATGCCGCAGTCCTTGGGGTTGCAAAGAGTTAGGCGCAACTGAGCGACTGAATTGAACTGATATATTCATTAGGCAAACATTTATATATGGACTTCCCTGGTGGCTCAGATAGTAAAGAATCTGCCTGCAATGAGGGAGACCCGGGTTTGATCCTGGAATCAGGAAGATTCTGTGGAGAAGGGAATGGTTACCCACTCCAATATTCTTGCCTGATGAATCCTACAGACAGAGGAACCTGGCAGGCTACAGTCCATGGGGTGGCAAAGAGTTGGACATGACTGAGCCACTACCATACACACAAAAGCAAAAAACCCATTTATATTGGATTGGCCAAAAAGTTCATATGGAGTTTTCTGTAAGATATGGAAAAATTGAACAAACTTTTTGCCCAACCCAATACTTGTTGGTACTGAATGAACTATATTTTGGGAGGAGGGAATCAGTTATGATAGATGAGCAAGATGAGCATTTGTATTATAACAATTATAATTTGTAAGCTTTTACATCTATTATGTCATTTTTTTCTCATGATATGGTGAGGCAAGTTTTATTATTATTCCCATTTGGGTGAAGACTAAGCTCAGTATGAGAGATAATACGTTGGCCCATACAAAATAGACAATTTTGGTACAGCTGAAACTCGAATCCAGGTCTTCTGAGCCTAAAGGCTGTGCTCTTTTTCAGTGAGCAAAAGGCCAGACAGACATCACAGGGAATCGACTGTGAAGGATGCTGTTGGGTTTCTCAACTGTGTACATCTTCCATCCTGCTATTGAATCACTTGCCCTTGTATTGGGTGTAGATGGGAACCTGTGGGCACTTTCCATGGCAGGAGAGGAGATGGCCTGGGCAGCTAATGTTCATTGATTTTAAAAGTGTGGAAATGCCATCTTTCCTCCAGCCTCTCTGGGATGCTGTGTGGAAAAGAGCCAACAGAGAAGAACTGAGCCTGCTTTCTTCAGAAGGTCTGTTTGCCAGGTGGCCTGTGGCTGGCATCTGGGAACATGGACTTGGGAAGGGGGTCTCACTATTCCCAGAACTTAAGAGTGGCTCACTGTGCCTGAACTGTTGGTATAAATGATACAGTGTGTGTGGAATGCCTGCTTTCCTTCCAAGAGTTTGGAATTTTGGCATGTGCTAGGCAGAGGGTACTTATGTAACTAAGTAAGTAAGTGAAGTTGCTCAGTCATGTCTGACTCTTTGCAACCCCATGGACTGTAGCCTATCAGGCTCCTCCGTCCATGGGATTTTCCAGGCAAGAATACTGGAGTGGGTTGCCATTTCGGACTCTTAGGCTCAGGACAGCTTCCCTGGCAGACAGCGTTGCATATCGTTGCTGGAGAATTAAGTGCGTCATGGGGACCCCTCTGGGAGAGGACTTTGGAAACTGACACCTCTACCATGTGCTTTTTCCCCTTGCTGATTTGTTTGTTTGTTTGTTTTTTGCCTTTTCAATAGAATAAATAACAGCCACAAGTTCAACAATATGCTGAGTCCTTTCAGTCTTCCTGGTGAACCATGAGACCTGGGGATGGTCTTAGAATGTCTTAGAAACATGTTCCTCTCCCCAACAAGGGTCTACAACCTGTACAATATATTATTCACATGGGAGTTTTCTAACTGAAAATTGTAGAATATTGTGAAGCCCACCTTTTTTCATTTTCTCCTTGTATAAAGTCCCCATCGCATTACCACAAGTCACAGGAAGCTCCTCACTTTGAAAATCCACATTTGTATCTCTGAGAGCTCTTGGACCTGCAAGGAAGCATGCGTTTTTTCATTCCATCTTGCTCTAAAATGGTCTCTCCTCCCCCATCTTGAGATCCTTCTTTATAACTTAAAATATAATGGGAGGATTTCTCCCATGAATTAGCTACATTTCTAGGTCTTTCTTTTATGACAGGTTAGGTCCATAAAGCTAATGTCACTTTATATCCCAATCCTCTGAAATCCTACATACATACCTCTTGAGGAAGGATCTGAATTCCCAAGCTTGCTGGCCCTAGCTACCTATTGCACGATCATTTTCCTACTGCTGTTTTGAAGGAAGATTTATAGTCATATCATCTCTTTGAAGTTATACAGATGGAGAAAAAGCCTCATTTTTTCATTTTTTCTCTATGTTTGAGGGCTCAACTGGGGCAACAAAGCAGGATTGCAATGGGCCCCCAGTGGGTCAGTTCTGTCTTCCTGCCTTGCTTTCTGCTTTGCTTCACTTCTCTTTCATGCGAGCTTTCTCTGTGGCTAGAAGGTAACTTGCTCTAGAAGAAACCACAAATTGCTCAGGGAGAGGGCCTCTGTACACCCTTGGGTGTGGGTGCTGAGGTCTGATTCCTCTGAAGCAGGTGCTGAAAATCTTATAATGTCAGTAGTGGGAACACCTTCTCTTGCCCTTCTGGCCAGCATTGAAGGGGATCCATTAAAGACCGATATTGGGGCTTCTCTCTGGATGGGGAGGGTAGGCTGTGGACAGTCCTTCCAGAGTTAGTTCTATTAGAGTTGGGTGGAGTAGAAGGCCATCCAAATTCACCTGCCACCCACCAAGTTACAGAGGAGGATATTGAGGCCAAAAAAAAAAAAAAAAAAAAAAATGAGTGACAGGCCAAAGTTATACAGTCAAAGAAATTTTAGGAATTTCTTTGCTAACAGGTCCCGTTACCACTCAGAGTCCCCTTTGGTGGCTAGCCTATGGCTCTCTATGTAGGCAAGAGAAGAATGAGCTAAATATTATGTGAGTCATACTCTTTAGATGCATTTCTTCATATTTTCCTCCTTAAAAGTTATCACTGTGGTGAGGGGAGACCTGCTCAGGAGACCTGGGGGGGTCTCTCACAGATCAACTGACTAATCAATGAAGTGGGTGCCTGTCATGTTGTTGAAACTGACCAGGACCTAGGACTATCCTAGTGTTTATTACTGGCTCTATAAGTCGATTAAGAAAATTGATTGATCACTAAAAACATGAATTATAAAATAGAAATTTGCATTACTTTAATTAAAAATGCATTAATCATTTATTTTTTACCTCTTTTTCTGCCTGTTTTCAAAGACTCAGTGCAGACTGTTTCTCTCCCTGGGAGAAAGTAGAAAAATAACATAAATGTGTCTTTTAACAACATTGTGTTGCAAATAGTGTTTTGTAAAAATACCATTCAAATGTCACTTTTCAGGAGTCTATCTAGTACATCAAGAAAAATGTCAAATGCCTTGATAAGGAGTTAGGAGTTTTTTCTGTAAAGGGCTATAGAGGAAAATATTTAAGATGCTATGGACCACAATTCCTTTTGTGATTACTCAGCTCTACTATTTTATTGTGAAGGCATCCATAGACAATTTGCAAATGGTAAGATGTGGCTCTGGCTCTGTTCCACTAAAAATGTATTTGTGAAACAGTTCATGGATTGAATTTGCCCTGTGGACCATAGTTTGGGGAACCGTGGTCTAGACTTAGTTACAAAGATGATGCCTATCTGGGATATATGCTGTATTTCTTTTACTAACATTTCCCAGTCATTCCAAATAAAATTGAAACCGTGTCTTACATACTTCCCGAGTAACAGAGCAGCAATGTGAGTAGTGTAATGAAGTTGGACATCTGTCAAGTCTTTATTGTGCACCAGGAAGGATCCTTAGAACCTGTCTCTATTGATTTACTTTATCCTTAGAGCAAATTTATCAAATAAGAACTAATACTATCCTCATCTTACAGATGAGAAAATTGATGTGCACATCTAAAAATACAAATTAAATAAAAGCACTGAAGATTTACTTTTATAAAGAGGCAGTGATTAAAGGCAGTAATATTAGGTCTCAAGGAAAACTTTATGCTCAATTCTGTAGGTCAGATAACTGCCAGAAAACTCAACTTGAAAGGTTTTTGACCAAAAATGGAGCAAAAATGAGCAAAGACAGAAAAAAAACCAAACTAGCTCAATGGCCCAAAGAAGGGAAGCTTATAAAATTGATTGTTGTTTTTGTTGCTGTTTTTCCACCACTAGGTCTTGTCTGATTTTGTGACTTCATGGACTGTAGCGTGCCAGGCTCCTCTGTCTTCCACTATCTCCCAGAGTTTGCTCAAAATCATGTCCATTGAATCAGTGATGCTATCTAACCATCTCATCCTCTGCTGCCCCTTCTCCTTTTGCCTTCAGTGTAAAACTGATGCCTGAGTTCCTAAAGTTGTAGGGTTAGAGACAGCACAAAATGTTGACTTAGACATTTCAGAAAAACGTAGTATCTGATTCAGTTGCTGATTGCATCCAAAAAGATCAGGCATGTCCATGTGCATGTATAGGTCTGCCATCATTCAGCAGTGTCTGAATGTTGAAGTCAGGGATGCTTTCTAGCTAAAGGTCTGTGCCCATCATTCAGTTCCCATGGCTAGAATCCTAGAGTACTAATTTGGAAAAGAGCTCATATATGAAGCTGAGGTGGGCCTTGCTGGCCAATTAGTCTCTTTATTATTATTTCACTTTACAGAGGAGTAAACTCAGGCAGAAGAGGCAATGTGACAGACCCAAGTCCACAGGACTACCTCAGGGGGTTGGGACGTGGGGCAGGACAGTTTCATCACTTGTGAGTTACACAGTGTTTTATAGCTACAACTATTTCCAGCCTCAAAAGTTATCAGTTCAGCACTGCAGAAGCTCTTGGGCCTTGGGTTCTAGTTGCAGATTCCACCACCATGCTACCTGTTTGAGATATCATCTTTGTCTCCCTGTCATGTTTTAGAAGTTGACTAAATCTGGTATATTATGCAATGGTTAGCAGCTACAGAAAGTAACTAGAGAAATAAGTCTATTAATAAAAACATAGACTAAAACAAAAGAATTTAGACATTTAGCTATTAGAAATTTATTTATATATTTATTCCTCTTGGTTTGCCTCTTTGAGGCTCTGTTACTCAGAATTTCAATTCTATGTCTCCCCCTTTTTCTGAGAAAATAGAAAAATATAAAACAGATGCTGCTGAAAAGTTGCATTGCATATAATAATACTTTTAAAAAATTCCATTTTATTGTAAGTTGTCAAGAGCCTACTGCATAAAGAAAAATAAATACTCCATAGCCTTGCATCTACCAAGCCTTTGATAGTTAACCTGGGTTCCTAGATTTCATGTTATTTACTCTCACACTAATCCAAATACTTTACATCTACATTTAAAATAATTTAAGGCAAGTTTTATTTCTTATATCTAAAGGAACACTTTGAGAATGATAATAATGAAAGCTGAAAATGAAGGAGAGTAAAAATGCTGGCTTAAAACTCTACATTCCAAAAAATGAAGATCATGGCATCTGGTCCCACTACTTCATGGCAAATAGATAGGGAAACCATGGAAACAGTGAGACGCTTTATTTTTGGGGGCAACAATGGAAACAGTGAGAGACTTTATTTTTGGGGTTCCAAAATCACTGCAGATGGTGACTGCAGCCGTGAAATTAAAAGATGCTTGCTCCTTGGAAGAAAAGTTATGACCAACCCAGCTGACATATTAAAAAGTAGAGACATTATTTTGCCAACAAAGGTCCCTCTAGTCAAAGCTATGGTTTTTCCAGTAATCATGTATGGATGTGAGAGTTGGACTATAAAAAAAGCTGAGCACCAAAGAATTGATACTTTTGAACTGTGTTGCTGGAGAAGACTCTTGAGAGTCCCTTGGACAGCAAGGAGTTCAAACCAGTCCATCCTAAAGGAAATCATTCCTGAATATTCATTGGAAGGACTGATGTTGAAGCTGAAACTCCAATACTTTGGCCACCTGATGTGAAGAGCCAATTCATTGGAAAAGACCCTGATGCTGGGAAAGACTGAAGGCAGGAGGAGAAGGAGACAGCAGAGGATGAGATGGTTGGGTGGCATCACTAACTCAATGGACATGAGTTTGAGCAAACTCCTAGAGTTGATGATGGTCAGGGAAGCCTGCTGTGCTGCAGTCCATGGGGTCGCAAAGAGTTGGACACAACTGAGTCACTGAACTGAACAGTTATTACATGCTTATTATATGCCAGACATGAAATAAGACCCTTACATTTACTAATTTATCTTAAGGAGTTTTACTATCCCCATTACCTATAAAGAAATTGAAGCATCCTGAAATTAAAAAAATTTAGTTTAGCAATCAAGATTTCCTTTGCTTGAGAGGCAGAATCAATGCAATAATGCAATCATTTGGATTATCTAGGGATATGTGATGGTGACCTACACAAATAACACATTGGCCATCATCTTAACCCTGAATGAAGGCTTTTGGGCTGAAAAAATGAAAGAGACAAAAGAGTGTGTTCACATAGGTTTGGACACACAAAAATAAGATCTGAAGAATTAACCAAGAGAAATTGCCCAAGTGGAATTTGTAGAAACATAAGTTCAAGTCATAGAAAACCTTAGGGTGAGAGATATCAAAAAAGGTTGATTGAAACCTTATCTCAGGAGAATAGGCTCTCAGATTTAAGAGGTGATGGGTTGTGAGAGGAAAGATGAGGGGGCTTGTGTAGGTGAATTTCTTGAATGCCATGTTCAAACACGCGGGTCCCCAAGGCAGGGCCATGAAATGTGCACCTCTCTTTCCTTTCTTCTTTTATTCTTTGTTTCTTTTCTTCCCTTCATTCTTTCCACTTCTCTCTCTTCCTTACTTTGTTCCTTCTTTCTTCCTTTCTCTTTCTTGCACTGGACTACAGTTTGGGCCTGTTTAACCATAGGTATCTTAGGCTAACAAAACATACTTTCTATTCCTCTATGTTTTTCTCTGGCACTGCTTGATTCACCTTTTGTCAAACCTGTTAGGCCAAATAAATTAAAGATACAAAAGTAGTCTGGTTTAGCTTAAGAGTTCTCCTTACTGGGAGATTTGAGGTTTAAGTCCAGCTAATAATTGTTCTTTGTAAAGTTTCTCTCTCAATACACCACAGGAAGTAGAGTGGTTGTTCTTGGGTTTCATATTCAGATATACTATCTATCGGCACCAGAGACTTGCTATAGAAGTTCAGTGCTCCCCTCCCCTCAGGGCAAGTGAGGAGGCTTCCAAGATAATTAATCTGTGTCTCCAAGGGAGACAGAGGCAGAGGTGTTTTAAGACTCAAACCTGATATGCAAAACAGTAAAAGAGACTCAGATGTATAGAACAGACTTGTGGACTCTGGGAGAAGGCGAGGGTGGGATGTTTCAAGAGAACAGCATTGAAACATGTATATTATCTAGGGTGAAACAGATCACCAGCCCAGGTTGGGTGCACGAGACAAGTGCTCGGGCCTGGTGGACTGGGAAGACCCAGAGGGATCGGGTGGAGAGGGAGGTGGGAGGGGGGACTGGGATGGGGAATACAGGTAAATCCATGGCTAATTCATTTCAATGTATGACAAAAACTACTGTAATGATGTAAAGTAATTAGCCTCCAACTAATAAAAATAAATGGAAGAAAAAAAAAAAGACTCAAACCTGGAAAGTCTAGAGAGGGGTCTAAACAGTCTAAAGACCATGAAGAGGCATGGTTTTCATGAGCCTTCCCTGGGAAGGGAGAGGCTCAGTTAATTCTTGAGAGATACTGTGTCCAGGAGGATGTTTTGGATGAAAGAGGTGACCCCAGGAGGGGTGTGGGCCTCCTGGGAGCTGGGAGACTAGGAAGGAAGTAGTAAACCATAGGTTGGATTTCCTGCATCAGGGGGACTTCAGTTGAGAAATTCTCCCTGAAGGGGGAGGATCTCTGAAGAACCCACAAATGTGACTCATGATTCTGCCATTTCAGGGAGAAGTGAAGGGTTTATTGTTAGAGGGCCATTCCTGCTTTTGACTACTTCCTTCTCTCCTTCCTCCCCAATTTGAATTAGCCAAAAGCAGTAGATACTGAATGGCATTAGAGAGGATGTGTAGATGGTCGAAAAGCCTGGTTTTACCCAATTTCTCCCCTACCTATTTTACAGTTTTAATATTGTATCAGCTCAGTCTTTTTAATGTTGAGTGAGAATATCACTGCTGCTGAAAAGGATTAACACAACTCTGGGGCTTATTTAAGACTTCATCCTGTGGCATGGAAAGAACTATTTAAGACAACAGGTTTGATAAGGAAGGAAGTAG